AGTCAACATTGTCCAAATCGCTGCCGTAATCCTTGTTGTTTAAAACTATGTAGGAGGGTTCTTCTCTTGTGAAGTGATGGCTATGTCTGGAGAAGGCTCTCCGGGCATGTTTTTCTTCTTTTATCAAGGGCGGACGCAAGGTAATGGGGGTATGCATGGAGGCAAACTAATATTACTTGAGCGATCAAAACCTTTGAATTGTGCTTGATATATACTTCTGTCTTTACCATCAGTTTGGTTTCTTGGTAACAAAGTTCACGATCATACCTCCTCTACCGACTGATACTCCGAAACGGTCCAGTCCCATTCTACTCCACTCACTCTACTTCTGGGCTCTTGAATCGTCATTACCTAACTAGGATTAGGTTAAATTCTCCCTAAAAAGTTACTATAAGTTGTAATTGCGATCATAAATATTAGCCTTCTCGCCTTTACATCAGACATTAGAATGAAGAGAGAGCTCGGCAACGCAGTAGGGGGACTAGGATCACAGTGGATGAAGCACACGGAATGGGAGAAGAGAGGTGGAATAGCTGGGCGATGATTCATGCTAGTTTGAGGAGCACTAGGAGATATATATCTCTTCAGCACTAACTCCCGAACCACAGGGAAACCCAACAAACTCTCAGGAAACACACCAACCTAACATATCAAAATCCCCGCAATCCCAAACAGTTGGAACGACCATGATACCTCATGATCGTCCATGATCCCTAAAGTTTGTTCTCTATCCCAACTACCGCATGCCGAACGGCACAAGCCGTGAATGGGGCGCCGTGAAACCCAACATCCAGCACCCCCAGAAGCACAATGGTAACGAGAATCGACTGAACCAAAACTCCAAATCCAGCCGCGTACCACGTATAAGCCTAACTGCATGCTCAATAGGCAATTCAACATAGAGTGGATGTGCAGTGTGGTAAAGCTTCTTCTAGGTCGAGAGGGTCTTGATCCCAGCCCACCAACGGCCCATGTCGCAACACTTCTGCTAAGCTTTGTCCCCCCCCCCTCCCGAATAGTTGTAGCTAGTGATCACATCCACCTATTTCGACCGCTTCAAGAAGAGTTATTTTCTACCATACAGCTCCTCCATTCACGTTAATAAAAACACTTTACACCCAATATCCATCATGGTAGGTCATGTCAGCACTAACCCGATCGGTTCTCAAATTTTTTAAGATGCCCTCAAAACCCCCGCAAAACCGCAGAGAAAACCCAGAGACCAAACGAAGACACCGTGAACGTTGCAGCGACCACCCGCTAACCCCCTAGGCCCCGGGCCAACATTAAGTCACCCCCTCCATATTCTCACAGTCTATCCAAAAGCCGGTCTTTCAGATGAAAACAGATTAAAGAGACTGAGCGAAGCGGAGACTATGCAGTGTGGGGGTCTTTCTAAAGCCTTTGTTTCTTTTGCTAGCTTGGGAGTATACAGACGAAAACGAGACTTCCGTGGGCAAGAGTGGATATGCCTGGTGATTGGTGGAAGGATGGGAAGATGCCTTTTATCGCAATTCATAATATTTACTCAAGTTGTTTATAAGTTATATGCTTCTGACTTTACCATTTAGTTAATGGTATTGGGTGATGAAGGGGAGAGAGAGACTTGAATAAGAACGAGCGAACTTCCACACTTATCGCACCGGGGAACAGCGTCGTCTTTCTATTGCATTACCAATTTTTGTCGTTGCTATGAAAAACGAATCCCATTCCAGACTGTCCACGCCACACATCATATATAGGTACTGTACTAGTACAGCAACTCATATTCACCACCGGCTTCTCATCCTAAGGCTCCGTACACTCACACCAGCAAATACGCCACGATTAATATCCACCGCCTGCCCACTCCCTTCGCTTGCCTCGCCGCCTCCCTAACCGCACTGGCAACACTGATCGCACACCGAGACGGGGACAAACTCCATTGCACAATTTCATATTCTTGTCACATCTGTCACAATCACGGCCATTAACTATAATATAACAAAAGCAAAACGAGAAACGGAAGCGACGACCGTAGCGCCAGATAACTGAACCTGAATGAATGAATTTCGTGAATGGAAGGAAGTGGACAAATGAGTTTAGCTTAACAAGAGTAGATAGATTATTCCGCACGTTGTATCGGATGATGGGCCCTATGCTTCTAAAAGACAGGCAGAGGGCGGGGTCCCGCCCTCGCTATTGCTCTATGGGCTCAATCAAATTTATTATACTAACACGGCCGAACCGGCATACGGAGACCAGGGAGTTGATTATCTCAGGTCCTGGTGTCCGCAATTCCCTTTCTTTCAAAATTGCTGTTGCTTTTACCGGTGCTGGGGTTAGTTTGGGTGTTACTGTATCAAGCCGGAGTATTGTGGGTGTCAAGATTAACAGGACACCTGGGCGGAAAACAGACACAAGACTACAGGATAACAGTGGGTTGCAACCGAGGATTTGGAATCAAGAGAAAATTGACATGGGGGAATCCCCTCAGAAGAGAGTAGGGTCTGAGGGTCTGTGTATTTCCGTTTTCGTGCGGTAGGTTAATCTTGGCTACCAGCGATACCTAGGATGGCAGATACCGTAACTTGGATAATGGGGCCTCGCACTAGGGCGTCGGGGTTCCGTCTCATGGATAGGGGGGTGAAAACACAGCGAAAGATAGACTCCGGATCTTCCTTTGCTCTCCCTCTTTTCGATTGATATGGTTGGACGGGTTCCTCTAGTTTTTTGGCTGCCTCGGTCGCTGGCTCCCGGGTGGTCCTCTCAACGGCTTTGGACATGTCTCTTCCCTCCGAGATGGAGGTCTCCCGCCTCCGCCATCGTGTGCATGTCCTCTCTCGTCGTCTTCATCTGGCACGAAGGATGTCGCTCGTCTGGCTCAAGTATGCTGAAGCCTCGGTGTTCTCCGGGGATATAGATGTTGAGCCGCTCTATGAGGAGGCGGCTGATGTCGCGGTCCGATTGACGTCGCTGGTGTCGTCACCCGCGTTATCAGTGGTCTCGGCGCGGGCGCCTGAGCCCGTCGGTGATGTTGACGGGATTGAAGGGGTCATGACCGGCCGTGTTCTGGAGTCCTTCGTGGATGCCTTTGTCGGCTAGCTGCGTCCAATAAGGAAATTTGGGGTGGTGTGGATTATGTGCGGGCTGACTGGGATGGGAATGAATGTTCCTTTTCGACCTTGGGGTAGGGTTTTGTGTTTGCGGCCTGTGAAGCGAGGGTTGCGGCTGCTACGGATGCTGCGTAGGTGGGTTTTGACGGTGATGTTGATGGCCCATTCTCTATTCCTGATGGTGACTTGGGGGAAGAGCCCGGCGATGCCGTTGCAGCCGACATTTGCCTTCGCATTTCCATCGGGGTGATCCCGTGGAGACATCGGTTGGCCGAATACATTTTTGCTTCGGCGTGGTTTTTGACTTCCCAGCAGAACGAGAGGATCCGGGTTGTTGCTCGGGAGGCGGAGCGGCAAGCGTCACCTGGTTGGTTGAATGGTACTGCAGTTATTGGAGATGTTGACCACGGGTTGGAGGGGTATTTATGCATTCTCGTGGGAGTTCGGCGTCGAAGGGCGCCAGGTCTATGCATTCGAGGCTGAGGGTTGAACGAATAATGGGCAGCAATGGTTTGTCGTCACCACCTCCCTTGCGGGGTTTGGCGCGGGGCCACTAGTCGGCCTTGGTGGCGTGGGGTGGTTCTGGGGGCCGGTCTGGGGTCTGCGCGGGTGACCGTGTTCGGGGCATATGCTGCTCGGCATGCTCTCCCTACTGTATCAGCCTTTAGTTCGCTCGCCGTTGGCCTCTGCGCCATTCGCTTGTCCGCCATTCACCATTGTGGGGTCCGTCGTTTTACCATTCGTTCTTTTATCCTTTGTTCATTTGTTAACCGGTACGATAAAGAGTCCGTCATTTCGACGACGCGCTTCGGTGCATCACCGCCGCAGGAGAAGACGCCGGGAGAAGTACAGCTAAGTGGTCGAGCGAGAGGGCCGGGTTGTTGAGCGCGTTGCGAGAATAGAGATCTTCCTCACTCCTTAAGTCATGAGTCTTCATCAGCCTTACTAAGCGTATTTCGGATCAATAGCACCGCCAACTCACCTTTTTTGAGAATCGTTCGCGATACGCTGTTTCGCCAGCAGAGCCTTAGCCGTTTCCGTTCGATTGTGGTAGTGCTCGATCGTTGCACATCATTCGGTGGTGTTTGACTGTTCTCGTGTTTTTACGCGTTTTTTGTCGCTCAGAAAGTCGTCGCTGTTTAAAAGTCCGAGGTAAAAATGTGGCTCGCCCATACTTGTGTCCATATGGTATCATACGAGCTCGTGCGGCGGTGTGTTGATTGAGTGGGTTTATGAGACTCGTACGTTGAACAATGCGGCCCCAAGGCATGTGGGGAGAGGAGCTTGTGGGGTGGAGGGCCTGTTTGGGGTCGGGGTAGTGTCGGCAGCTTGGACAGAGGATCCCTTGTGCTTGATTTGGGGGATGTTCACAGGGAGCGAGGCTTGTCACATGACCCAGTCAACAAACATACCGGTAGATACCGGTTGTCAAAGGTTACCCTGATTTATGTGGCATCGGTTAGGAGAGCACCATCCCATCCATTCCTTTCGAATTAATTATCTTGCTATGTGACAGGAAAGAGCTACATGTTCTTTCCCACTTCCTTATGTTCCTTTATTCCTTAAACTGAGCAGTTCATGGTTGAGCTATAATAAGTCCGATCTTGAGAACCCTTTTTTTTTGTGCACGAGTGCTGGTACCGTATCTACAAGACAAACTCATTCACCTCCGTCCTTAAGTTGTCGCACTGTACAGTACGAGTACGGTGAGTACGGTACAAGTACGAAGGGGTGAGAAAAAGTCTGGCGATGTCTTGGCTTTGTATCACAACAAGAACAGTGAATATTCTTCCAGTCCTCTGCACAAAGCGCCACGGCAGGGTAACTAACGGACCTCAAGCCCACGCTAGAGCCCCTTTGGTGGCTGTACCTTCGACTGTTGATACGCCATCCGCGTCTGTAACAGAACTTTGGAGGAGTGTTGTTTCCCCCTCATCCAAACTTACGATTCGTCGACAAGCTTGGGAGCCTCACCAACACGGATTCAAAAATCACTTTTGGCGTCATCAATTGCATATTCCATGTTTGAAGATCACTGGTACCATTCCTCATCGCAGCCAGAATTCTCGAGTCTGCGCCGGCACGAATCGGTGAAAAGACAATCTCCCGTAAGGTCCTCTTTGATACCCCTACTTGGGAATTCGGGTGATTCGAATTAGTAGTTATGAAATGAGGTATTTGGATGACTGAAATACTGACACCGCAATCATATAGGAGCAGAGCTCTCAGAAGAAGATTACCGAACCGAGAACGACACCTCCGGGACCCCCAAAAGCTGATATTTTGAGACGACCGAAATCCTATGCCGATCTAAGGGCTTTGGGATGGCAGGTAGATACTTCATTCATACCCGGAGGTAACTGCAAAGTTTGGAACGGCATTTCCGAGGAGCTGTTATCAAGACCAAAGTCACGAAACGATCTGGATAACCTGAAAGCCGAGCGATATGGACGAGGTAAAGGGTTGAAGGCTCGTGGGAGGGGCAGGAGAGCTACCAAGGGACCAAAGGAACTTGAAGATGAGCTAGACTTTGCAGACTGGTATGGGGAGTTCGAAGATGACCTCCAGGATGCGAACAACGAGCATAAGTAATCTACGGTGATTTCCAAAAAGCTTTTTGGTATACCTTACTAATAGTCTTTATCATAGACTTTTCCAATACACATTAGACTCGTATCTAACGACTTGCAATTCTCTCATATCTTCAACGGACTCGACCCTCAATCTCCTCGCAGAGCTTGAGAAATCTTTCCAGACCGTTCACTCACAGACCTCAAGCTTCCAGGAGACATGCTCTTCCCTTCTTGCGCATCGAGATCATATCAAGGGTCTGTTGAGCTCGATATCTACGAACCTTCACCCTTTTACCGAACTCGACCCTGTAACTCGGGCACTCTCTCGCCCTGGGAGTGACTTTGTCAAGACACCGTCGTTTCGTGAGATGCTTGTTCAACTAGACAAATGCCTTGCTTGGATGAACGATCCAGCTCACAGGTCCTTTCATGATGTCGAAAATTACGCACCCCGTTTCCGCCAGAACATGACACGGGCACTCACTCTGATAAGGAATTACTTTGTGGCAAGTGTCAGGGAGGTTGCGAACGAAGTTGTTGGACGGATAAAGGAACGTCAAATGAATGACACAACCCAAAGCGCGCTGCTATATGCCAAATTCCGAGTCAATGCGCCTTTGCTTCGTGAATTGGTTGGTGAGATAGAAAGGCGATGTGACCATGAAGAGTATTTTTCCCGTTTTGCTTCTTGAATTGGCCCAAGGACTAAATTTGCGCGCCAGGTATATATCACTATTGAACGAATGTTATTCGGCATTTTCCTCCGTTCGGCAAAAGCTTATAATACCTATAATACAAAAGAAGATGAGCGAGTTGGCTGCAACAGGAGCTCCAACAAATAAAGACTTGGTAAGATTCTCACGGAATGGAATCAACTTCGTGAGAAGCATTTGCATGGATGAGTTTGAACTCTTTTGCGCGTTCTTCTCAGGAGAGCGGAGCGATAGTGAGGCTTAGTGAGTGTCAAACCCATTACGTGCTCCCTATAACACAATCTAACCAGAATGCGATAGCAATTTCCTCGAGACGCTTTGTGAACCACTTTATGATCATCTTAGGCCACGTATCATCCATGAGTTGCAGTTGGTCAAATTGTGCGAACTCTGCGCATTGCTACAAACACGATATATGCGAGATCCCGAAGATCGTAAGTTGAATTTTCCGGTATTCCTATTCAACAGCATCAGGCTAATGATTTCACTAGCTGAAAACGATTCTTATGATCGTACACAACTAGATTTCGGCCAACTGATCCAAACAACTATTCAAGATACTCAAAATCGAATAGTTTTCCGTGCCCAAACGGTAATGCGAGATGAGATCGAAGGGTTTATTCCAAAACCAGAGGACCTTGACTACCCTGCAAAGAATCAGTCAAAAAAGAAGGCTCCAGAGAACGGAGAAGTTCCTGACTCACCCCTACCAGGCGCACCAACAATCATAGATCACGATGACAATCCTAGCGGCAATGGATTCGATACAGAAGCAGTCTTCAAGGGATGGTACCCGGCGTTGAGAAAATGCATATGGCTGTTGTCGAGGATTTACCGTCTTGTGAATGTAATCACTGCCTTTTTTTATCGCTGAAATATATCGTTCTAATTATCCAGATAGTCTACTGTCTTCGATGACTTAGCACACAATATTGTGCATGTGACTACAGTATCCCTCCTTAAGGCTCACCAACAAATCGCCTTAAAGCAAACACCTGCAGATGGCCACCTCTTTCTTATAAAGCATCTCATCATCCTGAAAGAGCAAATAGTCGCCTTTGATATAGAGTTCGTTCACCCGGACGTCAATATCGACTTCTCAGTTCTCACGGGCACCTTCTGGGAACTTCGGGAAAAGGGCATATTCTCTTCGGAGGGGATCATCAAGCTTGTCAAGGGCGCTGCAATGCCCAAAGTCGTAGAAAACATGCTAGATGCCAAAGTGGAACTAGATGCCAGACTTCGATTTGCCATAAATGAGTTTACACAACACTTTGCGAGTCGTATGACGTCGGGGATAATTGGGCCTTCGAACCGACTTGCAGCAGCAAGTGCAACCGACCCTGCGAAGGTTGTTCGAATTGCTATAGAGAGAGAAGTCGTTGTCCTTAGGAGAAAATTAGAGGAGTATTTGGAGGATGGTAGAACGAGAGAGACTTTAGTCGCAGCAGTACAGGTGTTGCCCAGTGAAATTCCCAGGGGCTCGCAGACGTGAAATAGCTAACAGAGAGGGCCGTTAGGAACATGTTATCCAAGCTTATGAGTCGTACTATGAAGAGATATTTCTTAGGGACGATAGTGTTCCACCTAGATCTCCCGGAGGTACGGTTTGGGACGTTGAAGTGTTCGTGGGATGGAGTAACGATATCTTTGCGGTTGGGCATGGCTTTTTGGCATACGATGGCGATGGTGCCGGGAGTGAGGATATGAGCCCGGGAATGTCAAGAGCAGGAAGTTTGTGTACGTAATTGCGGATAGTGCAGATGGGATGCCAAGTCAGAGTGTATCTCACTAATTCTCGAGGGGTCAGTGGTTGGTTGTTTGGAGGTTGGGATACCTGATATTGTTAAGTTTGTCCGAGTGATGGATGTTAGAGGTATGGAAGATTGACGGGTATTTTGACACTCCCCAGTGGTAACTATTTCCCTGGAGCTACACTGCCCCGATTCATCTGCCGAGGAATCTCGTTGAATGGTTGCAAGATGCTTGGGGTATCATATCGGTAGTTCTCCATCACCAGATGCTTATCTAATCCACCAAAACTCACGTCAATTATCATACTATGACCTTCGATACCTCCACCCGACTGGAGCACATGCACGGGATTTTGTCCGGTTCTTAAGGTATGATACTTGAACCAACTTTGCTCACCCCCCCTCATGGCAACTGATTCAATAAGTCGGGTGACAATTAGTAGCTCCCGGATTTATATCATTGCAATCCCAACCCCTGCGAACTAAGAGCGCCGTGTAGGTGCTAAAAGTGTCAAAAACAGCGAACCGAGAAAGAGAAATCATTTCATGATAGTGTATCGTACATCTTCACCAGCTGTGAGCCGTTGATTAACCGTAGATAGGTCGGTAGGGTCTCGGAGCACACAGCACTGCTGCACTGCTGAGGGTGTGCATAAAGGTCTGCCTCAAGAATATAAGAGTTGCCGGACTTGCAGTGCCGGGAGTCTGCGGGCCCTTCGAAATAGTCTATAGACAAATGCACTGTGTAGTACGGTACGGTACGGCGGGTCAAGTAAGACGTGGGGTGCAAAAAAATTTACGCGAGGGAAGGGTGGTACTATAACACCGCAGCGAAACACAATAAGTGAAGGCCGGGCAACCAAGATTTCTGAAAACTGTTCGGACCTTTACTGCCAAGACGAGCACAAATAGTCCCAACATGTTCAATTGTCTTATATCATAACTAGCCAAATTCCCATGTGGGTGAGAGGTATCATATGTTAGGAGAGCTCTCAAATCTTGTAGGCTCGATGAGGGCTCAGCGAGGCGATACCCTCAGTGAGGATTGAATATTTTGCGGGCAGATCTTGCTGACCTCTACTGAACTCATGTCAAGCCTCGGTAAAGGTGCCACATCACTAAGCCCGCAGAAGGTCTAGTCGCGGTTGCTGGGCCACTGTAGCAACTGGTGGAACGAAGTTCTACCATCAACCCTCCCGACATATACCCTAAAGGTACCGGTAGGTAAAAAGGTCACGGACAGACTTTTTGAATAATTTAGTCTGCCCGTAGACTTGTAGACTCAAAAGCATGCTAGAGGTTAGCTTCATCCACAGAGTCTCTCTAATCCCAATTTGTATTGGCACAACCACTGGTCAGAAGATTACGATTACAGTTGAGTGCTGAACTAGAGCTGGTAAGGTTATGAGGTGTCGGTAATTGGAAGTATTAATGCTCATGTTGGCGCTAAATATCCGAATAATTTTCATAAGACTTGGCTACCCGGCTTTAGTGTTTTCTTATGGCGTTGCCACCCTTCAGTCGCTCTACTGAGGTCCAGCACCCGGGTTATGTATATTTTGCTGGCGAAGGGTGTTGGGCGAGCACGCAGTCGGGGGTGAATTGGGTAGCTGCGGTACCGAATTGGGTATCAGTCCTGATACTGTATCCCTCAGTCCTAGCAATGGGGCAGTCTGTCCGTCCTTAGGCTGACCCCGGACGAGGCCTGACTACCGTACTTGATATCCCGTCGAGTCTTCGGAGCCATTTACCTAACAATTTGGACCGGCGGACATCGGGTCCGGCAGTCCTCCACTGTTGCCTTAGCAATCTCTCAGCCCCCCCCCCTTTTTATCCTTTTCCATATTTTTGAATGGGTAGATTCTTGTTGTTACTGCCATTGCTGTATCTATTTAGAACACGCTACACCGAACATTCGTTGACCGCCCTTAACGCGCAACTACTAGAGAAAGGATAACCGCTGGATAGCCAAGTATCTGAGACACCACCTGCTGGTTACTCAATAAAATAAAATAAATTATCCGGATATCATAAACCCGGTATGCATTTCTGCAACCCAAAACAATCAAAAACACCATGATAGCCCGAGTATCGTCTCGCCGCCTACCACCACAGCAGAAAAACCAAAAATAATTTGAATGTCATTCCATATGGATGAAAAAAACTTCCGGGCGATCAACCACGCCCTGCAATATTGACACCGAACTCCTCAAGCTATAAAGCAGTCCGAGTCCGGCACCACACCGGTGTAATGGTCCTCCTGCACGAAATTCTCTACTGCCGTCAACCCACATGTCTCCCTGAACCCCAAGGTTCCGGATCCGAAAGCTTAGCATAAGATATTTGGAAAGGTGAGCGGTGCATCGAAATGGTATATCAGAGAACTTGGGAAGTAGGTATTCCGTGTAGCCTGGTGCTGATGCGCACTGGGCGCTCTCGGGCGACCAATAATTCCTGGATAGGAGTATTGGCGTTTCGCTAATATCATGGAAAGGTACAGTACCTGAAGCATCCAGAGTATTCGGAATTGATAAATAATTCGGAACTACATTTTTATACTTTGCTGAATGCACCGGTCCTCCGAGATTCATGACATATTGGGGTCAATATACCCGTAATTCAATACATAACCGGATGCATTAACATTTATTCGCAAGATTTACGGACAGCGATTTGGGCTCTTGATCGGAGAGTTCGGTATTGTGAAAGATTATGGTATCGAAAGCTCAAGAAAATAAGAATTATAGAATGATTGATAGACCGAGTATAGATGACCCGAGAATGGAGAGATAGAGCAAGACGGATGGGTAAGGGGGAAGCTCAACAAAGGACAACATACCGCCTGCTATCCTTCACGGGTCATACAGAATCTCTACGGCATACTTCTAGCGTATGCCAGATCCTTCATCACATCCTATCCTCTCAAGCGCACATGCGCCGTGCAATTGCCAAGTTTTCCGTTCTTGTTCCGCGAGCAAGAGGGTATGGCCCACCGTATGTCTGGCCAAGATATGCCGCATGATAGGATTACCGCCCTCAAAGGCCACGTAGGATGTGTTGTCGCAAATGGTGTCAGTGTTTGACGTGAAGAACAAGCTATGATATTGGTGCGGTAGGGTTGGGGTTGTTTAGTCGGCAAAACAAAGCAGGAATCGGGTTCTGTGTGTTGGGGTTAAGTTAAGTTAGGTTGTCGTTGAACCTTCAATATACGACAAGGTTGAGTTATGATATAGGAATAAAAAATATGTAAGCATTCAACCGGAGCACCGCTAAGACTCAGTTAGGGATTGAGCTATTGGGATATCATTGGGGCTTGTCTCCGACTTGTCCCAACGATTGTCAGTTTGCTGTCTATATAGTTTTATTCCTGAGTCTAATAGGTATCCTCCCAGCGCCGAGGTCACCCCCTCCCCCCAATACTTCTATTGAACGAGCGATAAAACACTCACGCATATGATTGGGGACCACCTTTTTGTTGAAGGTTCTAGATCGATGTTGGTTAATTGAGATAGATTGTGGAGGTTTCGGGAGTCTGGCGGAGAGTTCAAAGGTTTAATGGATTGGTGTAGAGGTTCACAGATTGACAGGAGATTCTCCGGAAATGTCTTTCCTTTGTTATCACGGGAGTGTATGGGGAAAAGGGTAACATGCTTGGAGAGATACGGATAGGTGTGGTGATTCATGGAATGGTCAGGATACATTGTTTATGTTTTGCTTATACGCTGTCTTTACTGTGAGTTTAGAGAAGAGACGAACGAAGCTGTTTTTCCTTACATTACACTCTTGTCCACGTCTTGCCACAGTTCCCACATACTCCTTTGATTTTTTTCTATCACTGCGCGAGTCAGTCATTGACTGCTATACCAATTGATAAGACTTTTGACATGTAGCTGGCATAAATGGGCTATAGTCCCCTGGCTAATCCACGGCCACTCACCGTTACCCATAGCCCACTGCCGCCCATCCTGTCAATAGTCATCAATGGAACTTCTCCGTGTAACTTAGTTCTGGTGCAGTACACGCTCATACTACGCAATGCAGAAAACAGATTTATCCGTAAGAGGTGGCGCCGGTGTTACGAATTAAGTTATCTGCGCAAGCGCTGTGGTGGGTGTCGATCTTGGTGGTGTGCTCACTTGTTGGGTTGAAAGGGTGTTCGTGCGAGAATTTTTCGTTGGACGTGACTGTCGGAATTTTTGTGCCGTGTCATAATAATTATTATTATCATAAAAATTTTTTTTTCCCAAAATTGTTCTCCATTTCCCTCACCCGTCCACTAACATTTCTTCTGCATTCACCACCAGTCATTTTAGGTACCACTAACCGCAACTCTTGCCGTTATATTCCCCTAGTCCATTTCCCTCCTGACGTAGTAATCTGTGCCAGGCACTCGACTCCTTCAAGCCCATTTCAACCAGGAATTTGCAATAAATTCCCGAGCGTTATTTACTGCCACGAATAAGTGCAACCTTTGAAACATTATACAATCCAAGGGAATAATTGCAGAGGCAGCAGTCCTATTCCGAGTTTCAGAGGGTTGTGAAATATCTATTGGGTGAGGGGGATCAGTAAACCCAAGCGTCCAGTTCGTCCGTCCTTGGTTGCGGACCTGACGGACAGCAGTACATAGATGGATGCCCGCCACGGACGGGTGGGCCCTGCAAGTAATGGTCGGGCCCTGTAGGTGACGGCCGGAATATGCCATTTGTTCTAAGACTACGGGACCCGGGCGTCAACCCTTTAGACAGTCGTCTTCATGAAAGAAGGACGCCATGCCATGCTGTCCTCACCAACCATGCCCGGGACCCCCGAGACTACAGCCCTCCAGGGCCCTGTAGGGCGCCCCGGATGGTTAGGAAAACTGAAAGGGATATTGGGGGCCAGGGTTGGGTTGGCTTGCTGTGAGAATTTGTATTCCTGCGGGCGTATTGGCATTGGGCACGGCAGAGAATGGAAGTTGGTTGCTGCGGTTTACTGCAGAATATCGGGCACCAGGGCCCATAGTCTGGCCGATCCTGTCTCCAAGATAGTCAAACAGTAGACTATTGGGAACACAGGCTATCTGAAGAATCTCAGAGTAGTCAGGAGTAGGATGTTATTACGCTCTATATCGGTACCAGCCAAGAACAAACAAATATTTTCCCTACCGTTCGACGCTTCGAGGGGACTACATTAGTTTTAAGGCCATATTTGGCACACAACCATAGAAAAACCTCATTTTATATGGGAAAGTATAATAGTTTTTATGCCATTTCCAAAGATTAGACACTAAGTTTTAAGGAAAATAGCTGATATGGTAGTGCAACCAAGAAGGCCTAGACTTAACGAATGGCATTTCAATACCGTATGCGTGCAAAAACACGGCTCCGCTTCCCTTAATTTCTGTGCAGGAAAAATGCCATGAAAGTTAGAAAAATACTATTTTTCTTGCCTGCCCAGCATCGCTTAATAATCCATTCATCTCGAAACATTTCATCTCGAAACATTTCATCTCGAAACAGTGCCATCTGGTAACCTGATCTACTCGGGTATTTTTTATGACATCATACTGTTCTAGGGATCTTCGCATGTGTGATTGGTATCGGAAAAAGACACATAACACACTGGGGTGATCGGTAAGACTTTTTTCCTATACATCTGTCCCTCCCCCCCCTCATTGTTTCCTCCGGAACAAACCTTCGCTTGCTTGTCCAAAACTCTCCCAAAAACAAGACCAATTACTGAAAGAATAATATTCGGTCGGATCGTTAAAAGGTAATCGTAGTTGGTTCGAAGATGATTCGGATAGAGCAGTGGACAGATGAAAACAAAAGGGCGTAAAATCAAACAAGGATCCACGATATGTTGGAACAGCACAGTCCTTCGGCTTATTCCTGTGTCTAAAGTCGTAGAGTTGTTTAAATTCACTCCAACTTCACTCGTATATTTGTTTCGATAGCGTTCGGATTTCGTAGTTCCGACTTGTTTTCTTTTCATGGGTTCGCACGTGGTTGAAAACTCTATAGAGAAGAAAGATGGGAGAAATCCCCTAAGTACAACAAGCAAATTTTCTCTCTCTCAACTCCCAAACGATCCCATCCATCATAACGAAACCCTAGAAACCTTCACCTTGATACAACAAAAGTTATTCAAATCGGAAAAGACCTGAATTAGAAATTTCCCCCGACATTACCTGGGAGCAGGGAATTTATCATGGAAGGAATTAAAAGGGTATTCACGACTTACAAGACGGAAGGAAGAGTAGGTTTCCCATTTCTTCGGAGTATACCAAAAATTTCCAGTTTCACCTGCTAACAGTGATATAACCAGACTGCTCTGGTGACTTATGTTACTGCAGGTTTTCCGACAGTTGCGGCAACGGTAGGTCTGATGCTGGCAATGCAGACTGGAGGTTCTGGTACGGTTGATTGCTTCTACAATCCTGACTTTCTCTTGTGGAACTGATGATATTAGATATCATTGAAATTGGTCTACCTTTCACCGATCCAATTGCAGATGGACCGACCATTCAGGGGGCAAATACTGTGAGTGAATCCCTTTTTTTTCTTTTCATTTTACTATCTGTAATTAATGCGTGGTACAGATCGCCTTGGAAAATGGGATGTCAACTACTGCCGCCCTGAAGGCAGTTCTCAACGCTCGTGGGAAAGGATTGAAAGTCCCGGTCCTTTTCATGGGCTACTACAACCTGGTCTTGAGTTACGGCGAGCAAGAACTTGTCAAAGATTGTCGAGAGGCTGGTGTTAATGGCTTTATCATTTGCGATCTGCCTCCAGAGAAAGCTGTAAAATTTAAGAGATTCTGTAATAATGAATGGTATGCTTAGCCTCAAGGGATTCACAATATTTGCTTGTACTGACGTGCTGTTCGCAGTTTGAGTTATGTTCCGCTTATAGCTCCATCTACAAAGCCTTCCCGTTTGAAGTTTCTCTGTAGTATGGCCGATTCATTCATATATGTTGTTTCTCGTATGGGGACAACCGGCGCATCGGGCACATTGAGCGCTGGCCTTGGTGATCTCTGTAGGCGCGTACGCGAGGCATCTAGTGACATTCCTATCGCCGTTAGCTTTGGCGTTTCCACCCGTGATCACTTCGTCTCGGCTGGGCAGTTTTCTGACGGTATTGTTATTGGCTCCCAGGTAATTAATGTGATCTCACAATCAAAACCCGAAGAAATCAATGAGAAGGTTAAGGAGTATTGCCAAATAATGGTTGGTAGGAATGGCAATGATTGGACCACTCATGAAGTCGGGATTGTGGAAGCCATTGGAGAGGCCAATGAGCCACTTGATGCCCATCCTACACGTGCCATCGCTGAAAAGGTTGTTGAGCCAGGCCCTGGCCTAATAGACCACCTCAATGCTCTCAACGTCAATCGTGAAGCCGACCTTCAGGTAAGTCGCCAAAGTCACCTTTTCGATACCACTGGAAGTCTTCTAATAGTGATAGTCACTTCCTTCTCGCTTCGGAGAATTCGGTGGTCAATACGTACGAGAACCTTTAATGGGTTGCCTTGCAGAACTAGAGCATGGTTTTGTCGAAGCAAATAACGATCCTACATTCTGGGAAGAGTTTCAGTCGAACTATCCCTATATGGGCCGCCCAGGGCAACTTCATCTAGCAGAGAATCTTACTAAGAAGTGCGGGGGTGCCAATATCTGGTTGAAGCGAGAGGATCTCAATCACACAGGATCCCATAAAATAAATAATGCTATCGGGCAAATTATTATTGCCAAGCGACTGGGTAAGACCGCGATTATTGCGGAAACTGGGGCCGGGCAGCATGGTGTAGCAACTGCAACTGTCTGTGCTAAGTTTGGTATGAAGTGCACAATTTATATGGGCGCTGTAAGTAGAACCGGTGTCACGAATTCTAATATCTCAGAGGTCCGCTTACATTTTAAAGGAAGATGTGAGGCGTCAAGCTTTGAATGTTTTCAGAATGAAAATTCTAGGAGCTCAGGTCGTATCTGTAGAGGCTGGTAAGAAATTTCTTCTCCCCCCTATGGTTCGTAGATGCTTATACTTGCTTCCTCAGGATCTCGTACCCTACGTGACGCAGTCAATGAGGCACTTCGTTCGTGGGTTGTTAACCTTTCAACAACACATTACCTCATTGGATCAGCTATTGGCCCGCATCCGTTCCCCACAATCGTTCGAACCTTCCAAAGCGTCATTGGGAATGAGGCCAAGCAGCAACTTATGGAAAAGCGGGGGAAGCTGCCTGACGCTGTAGTAGCTTGCGTGGGAGGTGGATCGAACTGTGCAGGAATGTTTTATCCCTTTGCAAAGGATCTTAAGGTGAAAATGCTGGGCGTGGAAGCTGGCGGAGATGGTCTAGGTACTACTAGGCACTCGGCTACCCTTGCTGGTGGTAGCAAGGGCGTCCTTCATGGAGTCCACACATATATTCTTCAAAATCCCCAGGGTCAGATTTCAGACACACATTCTGTTTCCGCTGGGCTAGACTATCCCGGGGTTGGGCCGGAACTTGCTAGTTGGAAAGATAGCGGCCGTGCAGAGTTTATCCCTGTCTCCGATGCCGAGGCTTTCCAGGGTTTTAGAGCACTCTCGGAACTCAAAGGCATCATTCCTGCTCTCGAGAGTGCGCACGCGGTTTTCAGCGGCATGGGGTTGGCAAAGACAATGAAACCTGGCGAGGATATTGTCATCTGTCTATCTGGCAGAGGGGATAAAGATGTCCAGAGCGTCGCTGAAGAACTCCCAAATCTTGGGCCAAAAATCGGGTGGGATCTTAGATGTCAGTTAATTCCTTCTCTTTCTAATATCCATAGACTAACATTGACTAGTCTAACCTTAACCATCCAAAACAAATATTATATGATACCATGTTTTTCTAGTCTCAATTTCCGTTTGCGCGTTCTCTTTAAGCCCTGTAGAGGAGTTGCGGGGGTATTTCTCGTTCCGCTTTAGTTCGAGAGTTAGAGAAAGGTTACTTAAATCAATGCTTAGCGTGAATCTTCTAAGTCTGTTCTCCCGGATACGAAATGTGCCATATGAAGTTATCTAAACTCTTACACTCTTAAGACCCAAATACCGTGCTATTAAAGGTACATTAAATCACGCCCGGGGCATGGGCTAAGCTCCAGGAAATAGTGACCACACATAGGAACAATATCATGTCGGAACTGTGTGTTCCAAAATGCTTTTTTTGTACTGCCGATAGCAAAAAAAAAAAAAAAAATAGAAATTCTGTCCAGCCCTGTCCCGTGTCCCCAAATCAGTGGTTGTCATTTTTAAATCAATAAATCTTTGCATGATCCCTGGAGGTTTCTGTAACTGCTGACAGACATCGCAACTCCACTCCTTAAGCAATCCAGGAAACGAAAACGTCACTCAACACAACAAAAACCACAAAAGCGCCCATCGCAAGCATAAACTCCCTTCCGTCAAGAGCCTGGTCTGTTACCTCCTCCTCGTTCGAATCAGCTCGCTTCTTGTCGGTGATAGGCTGCGTCTCGTTATTACGAGCTTTGGTATCCCTGTCCACCTTCCGGGAGAGCTCTTGCGACCCCGCTTCCAACTTTTTACCGAGTTCTCCAAGCTCAGAATTCGTTTTGTTTTGGACAGCTTCGATGTGCTCAATCTTGACTTTCACAACTGAGACATCCTAAGTACATGTTAGCATAATTTTTACCTCGCAACATGGCTTCCGTGCCTACTTTGCCTAGGCGACCGAAGTGCTCCAAAGGGACACCTGGGACCCGGCCAAGAGGTGGCTCGAAGCCTCCTGCTGAGTCTGCTGGACCTGATACGAGGTTGCTGTCATTGTGGCCACCGTTGTTGGTGCCGAGTCTCTAGAAATGCCTTGCTAGTGCTGTCAAAGGCAATGAGGTCTGTGAGTTTACTTGAGTAGTAAAGATACTCCTGCATAGGTGGTGTGCACCGGATTGGTGGTGGTGATGACAGATTGCCTTAGGCTTAAATAGTTGCTTGCTGGCGAACCTAAACATGATGGAATCCTGTTCACTTCCTTCAACCTGATAAGCAAGTCGTGAATTTTCTAGACATTGAGAAGCGTGTTTTGAGATGAAAGAGACTTGCCTTATCGTAACTCAATTTTGTTGCTTGCGTTCTCCCCTTTACCGGCGGTTCCCTAATGGTGGGTTAAGTTGAGTTAAGCTTAGAGTCGAGAGCGTAGGTGCTCCCCATGTTTATAGCTGACGGGTCCAAAACCACAATTCAAAAAAAAATATCGAAAATGTCTACATTGACCTTAGATCCACACAACCAAAAATACATAAAAAAAACATTTCGAGCACTCTTCTGGTAACCACCAGTTCCCTCATACTTCGCATGGGCAAAAATATTTGTTGAAACAGGAAAGTACAAGAATGCTAAGTTGATGGTTTGGGCCAAGTGTTATGTCACAATATTACGTCTGGCTGCGAATAATAAAAGTGTCCAGGACAGCAGCCCCATGTAACGATGAGGTACTGTATTAAAGAGCAGCAAAGCTGGCAATCAGCACTGAATGGCTATATATCCCCGGGCTGGCAAAGGATATACTTCTCGAGCTACAATACAAAATTCCCGTCAAGTGATGGAACAGATGAGATAGGCTTCTGGCCGCGCCGCGGGCATAAAGGAAAGAAATCCTACATATCGTGTCCAATTCGACTTGAGTGTTGGTGTCAGAGTAATGGGCTAGAATCTTCTCAGTAGTGGAAAAGGGGGTGATCCAGTTCGACATAGTTTGGGAGGGAAACCTGACGTTCAACAGGAATGGAGCGTTACTCTAGACATCGAATGAAATCCTCGGTAAGCAGTTTTACAAAAGGACTGATCCAACGTAACTTATGATTAACTTACGCGAATTCAACCATATCATGGAAGACCTCCACGCTGTAACTTTGACGAAACCGAGCCTTTGGGAAATCAGCACTGAGCCGTTGGGCAATACACCAAGCCCGCCTTCTAAACTTGATGAGACGTTCGACTCCGTCAACTGAAAAACTTGTGCCATTGCGCTCCGCCCTATATTGCTGACAATTGGTTAAAAATGTCACAATAGATCCTAATTGATATCCACAAGGGTTTGAAACCACGGGTAGTGCGTTAGGGAAATACGTATTGGTAATATTTGTAATATTAGCATGGCTCCGTACCTGTTCTTGAGGAACTTCTCGTACCGATAGCATAGGCGGTAGAGTGCTTTCACACTCACCGATGGAGTCTTGTAGCTGCTGGGTGCTAGTGCAGTGTGAGGGTAGGCTTGCCGAGAACGGCAACCAATCGAGAAATGGATGGTGGGAATATCGGATGTGACACTATGGAATGGATCATAGGGCGATGCCGATGCAATCACGCCCGCGATAACGATAGCTTGAGTGTGGTTAGTGGTACCTACAAGCACTCCTCTCAGTTCTCTAGACTCCGTGAGGAGGATTTTGTAAGCTACGTAGTAATGTGCTAGTTGAACTAACCCAATTCAGGGGAAGGACGCTAGAGCGGAAACTGGATATATAAGACCAGGGGAGGTTCCTCATCGGGCCCCCATCTCATAACATTATTTCCTTTGCAATATTCCTTACTTGGGCAGGGATCTCATGGAAGTTAGTAAAATAGCCGGGCATAAGGCACAAAAGAATTTCCAAACAATGCGCCATAAACGCGGAAGGTTTCTCGAAGAGCAGTAAGTTATTCTTTAACGTTCTCATGGCCTCGGGAGACTGCATAAATTCCCGCATGTTGTTCGCTAGCAGCTGGAAAGAGAGCAGACTCGTGAGCTCCAATTGGTCGGTTAGCGGCTGGGCGAGCAGTATGATAGGATTTGATCACATCTAGTCTCTCTTGGCGGGAGTGTCCGGCAATTCAGCGGCCCCGGTATGAACTCCATTTCCCTATGAAAGACAACCTTGAAATTCAGCCAGAAGTTTAAGTAGGCAGTATTAACAAAACAAAAAACCCTCTTGAGATTTCTGTTCAACTTAAGATTGTGCCCCCACGTATTCCGCAATCTGCATCCTGCGCTGTGCCACAGAAGCCCCAACTGGCAGTGCAGGGAGACCAAGCAGCTCCGCGACTGCCTGGCATTGGTTGCCTATCAACCGGGAAATATTAATAAAGTTCAGTGACACTGTGGAGGAGAGCTTGCCGGGCATTTTAAAAAAGGTGGAACGGGTTGGTGGGAGTGGGGGGCCGAGAGGCATCCCAACTGGATACCGAACGGGCGCGGTACCGGGGACTGTCGAATTATGAAACATGATGAGGGGGAGTTGCTGCCTGGTTGTCATGTAAGTTATACTGTATTAGCAAACAGGGATCTGTAAAGATACCCGGTCTGAATTTGACCAAGTTGGTCTTGTATCTGCCCAAGAAGAGAAATCATTTGTAAGTGCTTTGAATTTATTTGTTGTTGCAGTTCGTTGTGACCGACGAATGCAGGCATGCTGGCAACCAAGGGGACCTCGTTCCGGATGCCGTGTATGTGATTTTCAATCCCTGTGGGTAATTTCCAAGGGCGGAGAAATCTGGCTCGTCCATGATCTCGATTGTAGCTCTCCAAGGGGTCTCTAAAATAATGCTCGGCAACCGGTTTGTCGGGATGTCAGTGCTGGTTAGTCATCAGCTTCCCCTGTTTTTAGGATTCAGAGAGGGGTGAATATTCGTAATACATACGTTCTTATTGCATTATGCTGGTGTGAGACAGAGGGGGTATTCAGTGAACTCAAGCGTCCAGTCTGTCTGTTCTTGGGTCCGGACGGGACGGACGGCAGTGCATGGGTGGATGCCCGGGACGGACGGACGGGCCCTGCGGGCTTCTCAGGGGGCAGGATGAGCCAGGCTCTCACAGGTGACGGCGGATGATTGCCGGGCCCGGCAGGTAATGACCGGGGCCTGCAAATAACCGCCGGAATATGCCATTTGTTCTACTGTACGGTGCCTCAGGTGGAACAAGAATTCCGTGGCAACCGACCGGCATTGAGCCCTGAACCGCCAAGACAATCTGAGTAGGGTGAAATGATACACCTACCAGCAGCAGTAGAGAGGTGAATAAAGCAGAAATCAATAGAATAAGGTTAATGTATTTAAAGGAAGGTTTTCTAACTAGAGCCTTGAGCTAAAGATGTTCGAAATTGAGGAAGACAGACAGGATAAAACCGGGTGTAGTTACAACAGTAATGACTGAAAGGTGGGTTTTACGCAGTGGATAGAGTTGGCTCTGATGGTAATGAGGGAACCTTGTATTGTATGTGTGTGAACAATAGAGAAAGAGGAGTGAGGAGAGTTTCATACAAGAGGTGTGGAGTGGAGTTGGTTGACTTCTTAAGAAGGAAAGAA